TTGCGAGATAGTTGGCATGCAGGCTTTAAAGCTAAGCTACCACTGCTGCCACTTACACTAACACTATCAATGTTGCTATGACTACTTGGACTAGTATACGACCGTCCATCCGTTGACTGTAAACAAACATCAGCAGGACGCGCTAAGCTGCTATTATCTCCCGCTTCAATATCATGATGCTCTGTAGAACTAGATACAGTAGCCTGCAGACATCCTGATTGCTCAGCAACATGAGGTGCTGTGTCACTATTCACACTTGTTGTCCTAGAATCAACTCTAGGTTGAGTCGAATAATTTACCCTACGTGAAGGGTTCCGAACATAAGCTTTATTCCATACAGCCAAACCTGTTTTGTCCCTATTCATATTCACTGCACTCATCAACCTCTGTTTGCTCGAATCCAAATAACCGTTCCTTGCATTTTGAGCAGTTAAGAAGCTTCTATCATCACACAACTCGGATCCGTCCTGATGAATACCCTTTTTGTCTTTTTCTTTCTTTTCCATCCTCGAAAAACCAATCTTATCTGCTACACATACCAAATTCTCACCAGGATACACATCAAGGGGTTTTAAACCATTGGGGTCACGTGCTCGGTCTTCAAGAGGATATTGTAGATGAATTTTCTACCGTAGCAGTTCAATTTCATTCCAGTAGGTGTAGGTCGAACGCTCCCTCCCCTAGTCCAATATCAGAACACAATAATTCTGGGAGAAAGCGGTCTATTATTATAATAAAATGGAAATACAAACATTTACCTGACAATTAATACACCTTCCAAATCCAATTTACGCTGGTGGGTATCCGTTTCTGGAAGAATAAGTGCTTCGAGTCCGAATTGCTACGGTATCAAATCCAAATATGGCTGCAGCCATATTAAATATCAAATTTAAACAACATGTGTACAGTTCAGAAGCAAACATAAGAACTTCAATATAAGTACAAAATATAGAAATAATAACAATATACAATGATAAAATCTCAAAATGTAATCAAATAGAGTACCAAAATGTCAACAGAAAGAGTCAGTCATATCATATTACAAATATATATACATGGAAGGATTTTCCAAAAAACAAAACATTCAAAAAAGATTCTACAGATATACCTTTCTAATACAATTGACGACTCTCTTAAGTTCCGAGCGTGAGGTAGGTGCAAACGCACTTGAAGAATTCCCATGTCTCGCACGCAGATCACCAATAGCTTCCGTATCATGTCCTGTTTTCACGCGATTAGCTAATCTTCCGAATCTACTACTAGCTATCCTAGCACGAGAAATAATAAAGTCTGTCAATTCATTGAAAGTAGGCTCTCTCTCCTCTTCGTCCCATTTAATTCCCAGCTCTGCCCACTGGACTTGCATTCGATGAGGTAAGAGCCTAACTATTCGCTCTAAAGTTACTAGAGAATTTAGTTCCGCAATACAATTTAATTGTTCCATAGTTAGAGCAACGTTTTGCATCTTAATTGCTAAATCCGACAATTGTTCTGGGTCGTTGTAATTCGCATTCCCAGATCTAAACAAGTCATCCAGAGTTTCATGAGCTATTACATGCGATTGTCCGAAGATCTGCTTTAGAATTGCCTTAGCTCTTTTATATCACACGCGGGGTTCCATTATAAGGCATCCTTCAATCGCATTTCTCGCCTTTCCCTTACAGTAATGAATTAAATACAATAAACGCAGATTATCATCAATAACTCTGGGTTCTATAAATGTCTCAAACTGCTTGATAAACTTAATATAATCACGGTGTTGTCCATAAAAATAACTTAGTTCAACGTTTGGCGATTCTAAGCCAACTACCGGTGTCCTAGACATCAAATCTTTCCCAGGTACCTCAAAGTTCTCGTCCAAACCTTGTTCCTTAGTAATTTCTAATGGTGACTTAAAATAATAAGTACTAAGCATAATATCATCCTTAGTAGAAAGTGAACCCATTAAACATGAAGTATCATAAACAACTTGCCTTGCGTTCCGGGATTCTTCATGGGCTTCAACCCTCTTCGTGTTTGATTTCTTTCGAGAACTCATTATCAATTGGAATTCAGTGGAAAAGAAGTGACAAAGACAAAATAGAAAAAAATTTTCACCGGTAAATCTTCTTTGTCAATGAAAAATCCAAAAACATCATAAGATCGTTTTCGAAAATACAGTCTAAACAAAACAAACTATAAGTAATCCAAAAATTCTACTTGCAGGAAGTTTGAGATTGTAAACGATAAAAATTCCTAATGTTTCTTTGTTCTTCTTAATTGTAGGAATATAGATGGATTTTCTACCCCAGCAGTTCACTCCGTTTCCAATAGGTGCAGGTTGGTACTCGACGTCCCAGGTCCAATACCAATATGTCTGCAGCCATATTAAATATCAAATTTAAACAACATGTGTACAGTTCAGAAGCAAACATAAGAACTTCAATATAAGTACAAAATATAGAAATAATAACAATATACAATGATAAAATCTCAAAATGTAATCAAATAGAGTACCAAAATGTCAACAGAAAGAGTCAGTCATATCATATTACAAATATATATACATGGAAGGATTTTCCAAAAAACAAAACATTCAAAAAAGATTCTACACTCAATGTCAGCCGAACAAGAGCAGAGAATGTTAAGGCACAAGCTGCACACACAGGAGCAAACAGGGAAGTGAAGAAGAGCATCAGAGCTGACAAACGATAATGTGTGGAAGATCTAGCAGTGATGGCCGTAAAGGCTGCAAGAGAAGGAAACATGAGACAATTGTACGAAACAACAAAGAAGCTCGCCGGGAACTATCGTAAACCAGAACGATCAGTGAAAAGCAAGGAAGGCAAAGTAATCAGCAACATCGAAGAACAGCGAAACAGGTGGGTGGAGCACTTTAAGTAATTACTGAATCGACCATCTCCACTGAACACACCCAACATCGAAGCAGCATCCACGGACCTCCCAATTAATATTGGCGCACCTACGATTGACGAGATCAGTATAGCCATCAGACAAATCAAGAGCGGCAAAGCAGTAGGACCAGACAACATTCCAGCAGAGGCAATGAAAGCAGATGTAGAAGCAACTGCGAAAATATTTCACATTCTCTTCAAGAAGATTTGGGATGAGGAACAAGTACCATCAGATTGGAAAGAAGGATATCTGATCAAATTACCAAAGAAAGGCGATCTCAGCAAGTGTGAAAACTACAGAGGCATCACTCTTCTTTCAATACCAGGCAAAGTCTTCAACAGGGTGTTGTTAAACAGAATGAAGGACTTCGTAGACGCCCAACTTCGAGATCAACAGGCTGGATTTCGTAAGGATCGATCGTGTACTGACCAAATTGCTACATTACGGATCATTGTGGAACAATCAATAGAATGGAACTCATCACTATACATCGACATCATCGACTATGAGAAGGCATTCGATAGCGTGGATAGGAAAACACTGTGGAGGCTTCTTCGACACTACGGTGTGCCTGAGAAAATAGTCAACATCATACGGAATTCTTATGATGGATTCAACTGCAAAATCGTACACGAAGGACAGCTAACCGACTCCTTCGAGGTGAAGACCGGTGTCAGGCAAGGTTGCTTACTCTCACCCTTTCTCTTTCTCCTGGTCATCGACTGGATTATGAAAACGTCAACATCTGGAGGGAAGCACGGTATCAACTGGACAGTTAGGACGCAGCTCGACGATCTGGACTATGCAGATGATCTGGCTCTTCTATCGCACACTCAACAACAAATGCAAGAGGAGACGACCAGTGTAGCAGCAGCCTCTGCAGCAGCGGGTCTCAACATACATAAAGAAAAAAGCGAAATTCTCCGATGCAACACAACATGCACCAACCAAATCACTCTTGATGGAGATGCCTTGGAGGACGTCAACACCTTTACATATCTGGGCAGCATCATCGACAACCAAGGTGGATCCGATGCAGATGTGAGGGCACGGATTGGCAAAGCAAGGGCTGCATTTCTACAGTTGAAAAATATCTGGAACTCCAAACAACTTTCAACCAAAACCAAAATACGGATTTTCAATACAAATGTGAAGACAGTTCTACTGTATGGAGCGGAAACATGGAGAACTACCAAAGCCATCATCCAGAAGATACAAGTATTTATGAACAGTTTTCTACGCAAAATACTTCGGATTTGTTGGCCAGACACGATCAGCAACAACGTACTGTGGGAGAGAACAAACCAGATTCCAGTGGGGGAGGAAATCAGGAAGAAGCGGTGGAAGTGGATAGGACACACTGCCGAAAGCGCTTAACTGCGCCATGAGACAAGCCCTCACTTGGAACCCTCAAGGCAAAATGAAAAGAGGAAGACCAAGGAACACATAACGCCGAAAAATAGAGAAAGAAATGAGAGGAATGAACAAACACTGGACAGAATTTGAGAGGGAAGCCCAGGACAGAGTTGGTTGGAGGAAACTGGTGAGCGGCCTATGCTCCATTGGTGGTAACAGGCGTAAGTAAGTAAGTAAGTAAGTATTAAGTCCACAGAATCATCCCTACATAAGCATCTTGTCTACTCATCACCACTATAATCCTCCAGGTCATCTTCGAAGAATCAAACATCAAAGACTGAACGCCTAGGTTCGTGCACACACTCCTGAAGTGTTGTCGTAACTTGTAACGCTCTCCCAGACGATGTATTCGTAGCCTCCTTAGTGGACAGGTTCAGAAAGAGGCTTGATAACCACGTACTCACATGCGGATTATCATCTACTTTCTTGATTCGGCTGTGCTTGATGAATGCACTGTGACTTGACTGTTGTTATTAATGTTATTTCGTCAGATCACTAACTTAATATATCCTGTTTGGTATTACTGTTTCCTTTCCATTGTTTACAATTCAGTCCTCTGATAAACTCTTCAGTACCAGTTGATTACCTCATTTACATATCTATTTAGATCCCAAAATTCCTTATTAGCATTATACTAGTTCACGAAAAAGATATTGGATACTGTATCTCCGATGTGCAAATTCAAGTTGTTTGTGTGGAGGTCAATTTGAATGGCTCGCCTTCGGCTTACTAATCCTAAAAGGCCGTTCATTTTGTTTAGGCCTGAGAATGCGCACCACAGTTGGATCAGATTGTTGGTCAGGGTCGATGGTCAATGCTAATATGACAACTATTCCCAACAATGAAACCAAAATTCTTCAGAATTCACAGAGCAATCATCAATCTTCTTCTCTCTCAACCCAGTCATCCAGTGGCTGTTCCACTAAGTCACAAGCTCCACAGGAATATCCAGTTTCTTATCTTAGCGTTGGTCATGTCAATGAGGAAACAGATGAACCCAAATCTAACAGGGAAAAGTCAATTAGATTTTCCGGTGTTACAGTCTATTCATTCGCCCGCCAACAAGGCTTTTCATCTATTCCTGACGATGGCTGGTGCACACTTGGTATGGCGCAGAAACATTTTAGTGTCTCTCAGTTAGATCTTCACCAACATAGAATTCTACAAAGACTTCGACGAAAACAACGTAAATTGCTTTCCCAAAAAAGTCGGTTTATTCCGGAAATGTCAGGTCGCGGACGTGGTAAAAGTAAGATTAAAGGAAGAGGTAGACGTGCAAACGGATTATGCAGCCGTAGTCCTGGTGACTCATGTCGTGTGCCGATTTTATCGTCACCTCCTCCACTTTCCCCACAAATTGGTCCTGAGAAGTTCCATATTATCGATCCAACAGACAGTGCAATTCCTGGTTCTTACGCTACACCTCCTCCCCCTTGTTTGTCTCCTCCCTCACCTAGGAGGTTCCTCCATACTTTAGATGAATCCTTCCTTAATAATAATATATGTAACTCACTCGATTCTATGGATACGGATTCCGAGGCATCTCTTGATCAGATTCCTTCCATTAATTCATCGGAACGCACTCATAACAATACACAGGAAAAGTTAATGCCCATACACTCAGCTGCTAGAATAAAGCTTTTAAGGTCATCTGGTAAGTATTGATTTAGTATTTGTGATTTATCTTTCCATACATGCATGTCCCCGTGTAATAATAAGTTTTACTGTTATCATCTAAGAAAGGTCAAATACATATTATCTTCTAGTAAAATAATTTCAATGGATGTTACTTAATATCTCAAACTCGATAATTTTATTTTGGAAAGATTTACTGTCTAATCCATGTCAATTGCATCAAATGATGCATTAATCGAATAAAAGCTTTGCTTTCTTGACTCTGCTACCGAATATGTGAGCTAGTGACTGAAGTCGCATGTAACCACAGTCAAGTTTATAACCAGTCTAGTTCTTTTGCTTTTCTTTCGGCAATTTTTATTTAAATGCTCGACAATCACTTAACTTACACGCACTAATCTCTTTATGGCTGTCACATAAATGTTTATAGTTCGTACTGTTTGACTGCAACGATTGAGACTAATCACATGGAAACTCAGAATAGTGTTTTGACCATTAAGTTAACACCTGTTCAATTAGAGTAACTTCTTGTAGTCTATTACTGTTTGTTGCTTCAGATTTTAGTTTTAATTTTGTGACGTTGAAGGTTCGATGCCGATTTCCTTGTCAGTTTATGAAAAGACAACTGAAATTCTATCTACTTGTCCAATCATTGTTGGTATTATAGCGAATCAGTGGTTCGTATTTTTTCCGCTTTCATTTTGCTAAATATGAGTCACTTTTTGATAATTCTAGTCTTATTTTATCGTTAATACCTTTTTCATCCTCATTACCTTCATTGTTCAGATAGACAAACAGATACAACGCAGAACTTCGTGCGTAAGTACATCAGTTCAAGTTACCATACCATATCAGCACAGAGACGCAACTGTCAGTTCAAATCCAATAGTCATAGCGATAGTAGAAGTATTAGGAGTAATGGAGAAGATTAGGGAGCGAAGATATGATCCGAGAAGTATAATTCAGTAAGATTAATTTAGAAGGAGAAAGATAGAGATTATGAGGAACTCAGAAGGTTAGAATTTGAGAGAACACAGAGATTGGATGCACCCGCGCCATTGCAAACGATTCTGAGCCATGTCTTTCAAGGTCTCTAACCATTGGTGACTATCGTCTCGCGGACCCCAACCAGGTAGCCTACATCTACCAACATGACTCAGTCCACTAGTCAGTGACTTCATGGATTTGTGCCATGTTTTGGTTTGGTCGCCCCTAGCTTTCTTCCAACCTACCCCTACACCACAAAACAGCTCGTCGCAGCAGTCGGTCGTTAGGCCTACGTAACACATGACCCAACCACGTCATAACCTTTCATTTGGTAAAAGTGGCATCGATTTGCATATAAGTTGTTTAACTTCTCTATCAGATATGTAATCTATCAAGATGGATTCCTTTCTATTAATCAGTTCGAAAACGATTATCAGAATCAATTGGCTTCTGAGATAAACTTAGAAATCATCCTATTGTGAATTTTGTGCCCTCGGTGGGACATGGCTATTGATGTATTCACTACACGATCAAAATCTAAACTTCTTCAAGTCCTATCAGTCCTAAATTATTTCCTGTAAGTGGTATCTGATATAGTACAATGATCTTTTTGTGTTCACTTGTAAGGTTATCTTGACAATCGGACCAAGTATTTCTTTCTATTCGTGAAGTTAGCACTTATCGCGAACAGGTAGTAGGTATTAATAACAGTATCACCATTTGGCTACTGTTGTTATGTCGATAATTTGAATGTCGATGCAATATTTCCCCTAAATTACAATCATTCTTAACATACTCTCCTCTTAGGTGTGAGGGAAATTGATGAATCAGAACGCCTTGTATGTACTTTTATACGGGCTATGCGTTCACGTGTTGGCTGCAATTGTGGTCCAAAAAATTCATGTATACCTGGTCAGTGCTCATGCGCAGATGATGGAATTCCTTGTCAGGCAAGTTGATTTAATGTATTAGCTGACTATCGAATTGTGTTTATAAGTTTAATAATTTGGCTTAGTTTGGATAATTATTTAGGTTTTCTCGTCGATTTAAACTGATAAATAGGGTTCCTTACCCACGCCTGTTACCCCTAATGGAGTATGGGCTACCAACCAACAAATAATTTTTTTATGGTTAGCATTTTTTAGCGAGTTGGATTTCAAGCAGATGGGGTTACTAACCCCATGCCCAACCTTCCTCCTTTATCGGGGCTTGGGGTTGGCAGTAACCGCAGAAGGGTTCCAGGCGGATGATTGGTTCATGATTTCAGTGATAAACAAAAATATTAACGGATAACTTCTCAAGTCTATTAAATGCAAATGAACTGTAGTTGTATCAAGGGTGTAAAATAAAACTGTAACTTTAAAACATTTCGTTCACTACTTTAGAAGAATACTTTTATCATTTTGGAAAAACGTACTACTAATTAAATGAAATGAAATACTGATTCTTATAATAATAATGGCGATTGGAATATTAAATTAACTTAGTTTAATGGCTCGGATTATTTCGTTAATGATATTTTCTACTGCAATTTGAACTGTTTTGGTTGGCATATGGATACTTTGTGCTGATTGCCTCGATATAGCCATTATGACTATGTCGTCACTTCATCTACCGTTTGAAACAAATGGTTCTGGATTCGAATCTCAGAATGAACAGTAACTCTAGGGTACAGGTACATACAGCTTAGGATTCCGAAATAGAACAAAACGTACATCATGTATTCTGACCATATTCCGTCTATTCTCATATCAATTTATGTATAATATTTGATTTACGTGTTTTTAGTTCACCAGTTTCTTCATATTGGTTGTTTTTTTAAAGCGGTATTAGTTTAATCCAAGTCAGTATCATTAATATTGCTATAATTACATACGAATATGTATGGATTATCATCCAGCAAATACTAGTTAAACAATAAAGTTCAGTCAGTTAGTCAGTTACAACGTAGAACTTCGTATGTAAGTACATCAGTTCAGGTTGCCATAGCACATTAGCACAGAGACGCAATTGTCAATTCAAATCCCATAGTGGTAAAAGTATTACTGGTAATGGTGAAGATTAGGGTTCGACGATATTATTCAAGAAGTATAACTCAGTGAGATAAGTTTTAGCTTTTGATTTTTATCCAAAGTGTCTTTTTAGATTCGAAGTTTCATCTCACATTCTTTGGATAAAGCCATCTGTTAGTATTATCAGCTCTCCTAGTTCAAATCATCATTGTTAGTGTTACCATTCATTACACTAATTTCAAAATGCTAAATACCTTATTTGTAACTACCCCTCTCATTTCAACCTGAACTTGATAGTGTTTGATAGTTTTATTATGAGAAATGTTTTACATCATTCAACTCATATTAATAACAGTATAACTGCATCATCTTATAGAATTAATTCACTGTTGAATTCTAACATTAGTCTGAATTTAAGACTATTTATCAATAGTCAAATGACAGTTTAGTGGCTGCGTTAGATTCGTTGTCCGGCTTACTACTTCGGTGGCTACATTGAACTCCAAGTAGGGCTCAACATTTTAGTGGCCCACTATGATCGAGTGTGCAATGAAGTAAATCTTTCCGTATATCATACTCAGGTCAACCCGTTTGTGCAACGGCGATAATTAAAAGCTAAGTACGGTTTCAGTTGGATGAGTTTATTTCAAACAATCGTTTACGCAGACAGACATGCGAATATAAAGCGTGAAAGTAAAGCCAAGTGAAGTGAAGAAGGCGAGTAGCGAGCCAGCTCTATGCGATAAAGTATGACTAAGCATTTACAGTCAGACAAAAGTAAGCAAGACATGTGATAACCCACGAGTTCACACACATACTCGAATAGAAACAACCAAGATAAAAGCGAATAGTTGATGTGGTTAAAAAAGAGAGAGAGAATATTATAACTCAGGCAGAATAGATTAGTTAATTTGTTCAAAAGCTTGGGATTAACGTAAAACTGTACGCTTTACAACGGATTCGATCGTCTCAAAAGGTGAGATTGCTACCTAACAAGTACGTTTTCAACTTTTGTTGTTCAGTATCAACGGACATAATACCATAGGAGTAAGGTTTTTTTTACAGATTAGAGACTTGTTCAGGTAGCCGCCAAGAAAAAAAAATAAGTTGGCCTTACAATTTTTAAAATCTAATCATCAGTAAAATGTATTGATTTGTTTTTTTTCTAAATATTCCATCGTAATATAGGTTGATCGAGCATCCTTTCCTTGTTCTTGTACAGTTAACGATTGTTGTAACCCGAATGGTCGTAATGAATTCTCTCATGAACAAGTCCGCGCACATACTCAACATGTTTTGGCACGTGTAAGTTAATAGGATGTAATTATTCTGTCCATATTAGACTGATTTAGTATGTACTGTGAATTACACGGATACAGAAAGCTCGATTGGCTTTTGCCAACCTGCGTTACCTATGGCGCAAGCGAGATATCCGCTTGCTAACCAAAGGACGAGTGTACTGTGCAGCAGTTCGCTCCGTTCAACTGAAGGAAAAGGTTAGAAAAGGTCGACCATATAAATGCCACACCTCACCTTCCTGAATTTCCGTCTCCTGCGGTCAGACCTTTTGGAGAGCGGAGCTAACACTTTGAAAACTTTTAATAAAAAGGCTATGCGTGACCGGCCTTGAGCTCTATGGTCACGCTCCAACGTCTCTAAGACCAACGCTAGTCTGGTTTCCGTTTCAGGTTCTTCAAGGAGCACCGTTTCATGGTGTGGGCAGCCGGAAAGTGATATTCACCTTCATACCCGTAACAGCATACGAGACCGAATTGGTCACAATCAAATCCTTTCTTCATCTCCTAGTGCATCTCTTGCCTCCGTGAAATATACTGGTCTGAAATATTTTTTTACTGGAAAATAATCAACTCAATGTCATACAGACGAAACTTTTTACGCAGCGTTTGCAAAAATGCGGATTTGCCTTGTTATCCCGGTTTGCCATTGTTAAAGATCCATTCTGTGAATACTTTTTTAGATTGAAGAGCATCATGTCTAATTTTGAAACATATTTGTCAAAGAGTTTATCATATCTAATCAACTGAGTTCAGTGGTTTCCGTTTTTAACTTAAGTTCCCTTCACAGAATTATGATGAAGTTAGATAACTTAGGGAATCTAAGTCAGTCAGTCGGTCAGATGCAACGTAGAACTTCGTAGTACATCAATTCATGTTGCCATACCACATTAGCACAGAGACGCAACTGTCAATTCAAATCCCATAGTGGTAGAGATAGTAAGAGTACTACTGGTAATAGAGAGGATTAGGGTTCCAAGATTCAGGGAATTTAAGTCAGTCTGTTACAACGTGGAACTTTGTACGTACGTACGTAAATCAGTTCAGGTTGCCATTACCACAGTAGGGAATCTAACATACAAATTAAATACACGAATTCACTTAACGAGATGCTTTCTTTATCACATTTGCTGTACCTTTTTTCTGGATTGTAATTTTTTAATTGATTCACTTTACATGTTGTGTAGTTGGTCTTGTAATGCATCTAATATTTTTGTTTGCATGATATATGTTTTATTGATTAGGTTCTGCATGAGTTATGGTTGACATGTATGTATAAAAGCATAAACTTACCCTCAATGGCCATTAGTAGTTTTACGTTGGTTTTAAGAAGAACTAAACACCATTTAGGTGTTAAGGATACAACTTGAACAGCACAGCTCAAATCTGTGGCGCAACCACCATACAGGTGCCTGATACCCTGGTGGACAATTCTGCTATTTATATATACACCGTTATATATGGTGATTATTTCCGATTCATAATCGCGTCATTCAGTATGCACAGCATGGACTGGCCAATTCAACCCGTCCCGTTTACATGACTGTCACAAACTCATTATTATTAGCAACGACAACTATCTGCATTACAGTGTCGCTATGACAATGACCTTCAAGTATGTTGCAGGGCAACTATCGGTATCAGTGAAATTGATTACCCGGCAAACCAATTTCGTATATGGATTATTAGCAAAACTTACCAGAATGATACCAAACCATTCCTACAATATTCATAGCAAGACTCCAGTCTTCTCGTAGGCAAACTTCAGCTCTCTCTATAACAATATAGTTAACATGTGAAATGATAAAAATGCTAAAACCTTTTGATCATTTATTTCATGCAGTCAGTTTAGTTACATTCAGCCAGAGTTTTAAAGTACCAGTTAAATAATTTTATCGTTTCACATTTCATGATATTTATGTTAGACAAAAACTCAGAGCTTAAGGTTTCTTTTAATTACCGCAAACGATGTTGTCATCACAGATTCTACATAAGATCTCAGTCAGATCTTAGGTAGAATCTGGGAACTAGGCGTAATACTGTGGTGCGAGCTACTTATAAGTAGTATATGACGTGAGTGTCAACGTAATGTCTGGCAGCAGAAGATGGGGGAAGATCAAGAAAAGAAGAGTTAGAACACATTGGAATTTGTATGAAACGCATGAATATTGACAATGGATTGATGTTTTGCAACAGGAACAGTCCAGTTCGATATGATGAACTGATATTTTGCAAATGAACGATTTACGATATGATTTTCCAATTTTACTTAGTAACTCTGTAATTTGGCTAAATACAATTCGGTTGCCCCACCTGTGTTCTCGATCACTACAATACCATCTGGCTGGTCTCAATTACTGATTGTCCCAGTCTGACAAAAGTCCTCTTGTGACAATCACAGAGGAATAAGTCTAACTAATATAATATAGAAAATAATCAATCAGTCAATCACTCAATCAGTCAGTCAATAGCGACGTCGAACTTCGTACGTACGTACATCAGTTCATGTTGCCATATCACATTGGCACAGAGATATAATTGTCAATTCAAATCCCGTAGTAGTAGAGGTAGTCAAGCTATTAGCAGTAGTCGGAGAGGTTAGGATTAGAAGATATTATTCAAGAAGTAAAATCTTGTGAAAAAGATTTAAAAAGATAAAAATAAAGTGATGAAGAATTAAAAAGTTAAGGTTTTAAGAGAACACAAAGAATGGATGCACCGGCGCCATTGCGAACGATTTCGAGCCATGTCATTCAAGGTATCTAACCATCGATTATTATCATCTCGCCAACCGCAACCAGGTAGCCTACGTCTACCGACATGACTCAGTCCATTTATCAGTGACTTCATGGATTTGTACCTTGTTTTGATCTGGCCCCCTAGCTTTCTTCCAACCTATTCCTACACCGCGAAATATAGCTCGACGAGGCAGTCGGTGGTTAGGCATACACAACACAAGTCCCAACCACCTCAACTGATGAAGTTTCAATATCACATCTGTTGATTTGCCATCCTCATCTAGCACCCGTTTTCTAATAACAGCATTGCTCACTCAATTGTCCCAGGATATACGAGCGATGCTTCGAAGACACCTATTGGCCTCAATAATACTCCGACGCCTAACTAGAGCTCGTGAAGAACAGACTAGATTAAACCAGGCTGTTGTTGTTGATGATGATGATAAGGTTTCTTTTGTTGTTCCAAACACTTGAAACGATGATGTCATCAATATACAGAATCGAATTCTCGTTGATTCATGTCATCCAATAATTACAGCAATTGCGCTAAAATGTCATAAAATATTCATTCTTTAGTTTTATTGCTTAGAAAGATTCACACAAGTATTTGGTCATAAAAATTATTCTCAAATTAATCAGTTCCTAACTTAAATGTCTTATTATATTTTTGGACTTAGTATCTAGATTGTTCTATCGTATATATCAATACAAAAAATAAATAGGTTCTGTTTGATTGTTTCATGTTTATTTATTGTTTGTAAATTATACTCGCCTGTGTATTTTTATTCTCTTATTGCCGAAATTATAACCAGTTCGCCAATGATTGCTCTATTCAACCTGTTCACTCTACATTGGATATGTCAACAACATTGTTTAGTACACCGAATGGTGCTTGTCGACTTTGTTTAGAACGTTCCAAAACAACAAACGCACCATCGAATAGTAGTCTCATGTTTTTTTCCAATAATAATAATGATAATCATTCTAAATCAGTTGAACAATTGAATTCTACTCTGGACAATCCATTTCTTTCAATTTCAAGCACAGATCTGCCATACACAAACAACTACAACATATTATCTCCTGTGGATAGAACCGAAGACAATTGGTCACACCTTAGTCCATGTTCTAATTCTTTGAAAAAACATTGTTTAATGTCAGATCACAGTACCGATTCTAATAGTCAAGTTTTACAAACTTCTTTTATGCCATCTGTTAGCTTGCCTGCTTCTCCAATTGTGATCGAATTAGTGAGCAGTTTGTTTCTTTTTATTGGTTCATTTTAAATTTGAACTTCTATGTTTATACATAAACATATTCAACGATAAACCTGGTATTATTTGCTTACTTACGCCTGTTACCCCCAATGGAGCGTAGGACGCTGACCAACATTCTCCAACCTACTATATCCTGTGCCTTCGTTTCCAGTTCTGCCCAATTGCTGTTCATTCTTGTCATATCTGTTTCCAGTTCTCTTTGTAATGTGTTTCTCGGCCTTCCTCTTTTTCCTTGACCTTAAGGATTTCAAGGGAGGGCTTGTTTAGGGACTCGTTGGGTGCTTTCCTCGATGTGTGCCCTGTCCACCTCCTATGTTTTTTCCCAATATACTTCTCAACTGGGATCTGGTTTGTTCTCTCACAGTAGGCTGTTGCTGATATTGTCTGTCCGACAGATCTGAAGTATTTTGCGTCGATAACTGGTAATAAATTCCTGTATCTATCGGATAATGGCTTTGGTAGTTCTCCAAGTTTCCGCCCCATACAATAGAACTGTCTTGACATTTGGATTGAAAACTGTGACTCTGGTGTTTGTTGATTGTTGTTTTGAGTTCCAGATGTTCTTCAATTGAAGAAATGCTGCGCTTTACTAATCCACACCACATATGTATCAGATCCACTGGGCTCATCATTGATGCTGACCAGATAAGTAAAGGTTTAACATCCTCCAAGGCATCTCCAAGTGTGCGTTGGTTGGTGCATGTTGTGTTGTATCGGAGAATCTTGCTTCCCCTTTATGTATGTTGAGACCTGCTGCTACACTGGTCGTCTCCTGCATCTGTTGTTGAGTGTGCGATAGAAGAACCAGATCATCTGCGAAGTCAAGTTCGTTCAGCTGCATCCCAATTGTTCACTGAATCCTGCGCTTCCACACAGATGTTGACGTGTATGTAATCCAGTCGACCACCGGGGCAAAAAGGAGTGAGAGTACATAACCTTGCCTAACAGTGGTATTCACTTGGAACGAGTCTGTTAGCTGTCTTTCATGCACGATTTTTCAGCTTAGTCAATCATAAGAATTCCGTATGATGTTGACTATCTTCTCAGGCATGCCATGTCGGAGAAACCTCCATAGTGTTGTTCTGTCCACGCTGTCGAATGTTTTCTCGTAGTCAGTAAAGTCGATGTACTGTGGTTAATTCCATCCAACTGATTGTTCCACGATGATCCGTAGTGTCGGTACATAATCGATCCTTCCGAAATATAGCCTGCTGATCTCGAAGTTGGACGTCTACGGAATCTTTCACTCGATTTAGCAATTCTCTATTGAAGACCTTTCCTGGTATTGAGAGAAGATTGATTCCTTTGTAATTATTGCATTTGTTGAGATCTTTCTTCGTGTCTTGATGGAGTGAACTTCTTTCCAGTCTGTCGGTACTTTTTCTTCATCCCAAGTCTTGCTGAAGAGAATATGGAGTACCTTTACAGTTACTTCTATGTTTGCTTTCAGTGCCTCAGCTGGAATGCTGTCTGGACCTGCCACTTTGCCGCAATTGATTTGTTTGGTGAGTATGCTGATCTCTTCAATTGTTGGTGTGTCAATATTATTTGAGAGGTCCGTGGGTGAGTTCAATGGTGCCGGCTGGTCCACGAGTTCTTCATAGTGCTCTCTACTCACCTGTTTCGCTGTTCTTGAATCTTGCTGAATACTTTTCCTTCCTTGCCTTTCACTGGTCTTTCTGGTTTACGATAGTTGTCGGCGAGCTTCCTTGTTGTATTGTACACTTGTCTCATGTTTCCTTCTCTTGCAGCCTTTTCCGCCGTCATTGCTAGATCTTCCAGAAATTTACGTTTGTTGGCTCTGATTCTCCTCTTCACTTGCTTGTTTGCTTCTCTGTTTTCAGCTTGTGCCTTGGCTTTTTCCGCTCTTATTCGGTTGGCGTTGATTTCTGCCTACTTATTCCTTCTTTCTTGAATCTTATCAAGAGTACCAACAGAGATCCATTCCTTATGATGGTACTTCTTATGACCCAGAACCTTCTGACATGTTGAAGTGATTGCTACCCTGGTCTCTTTCCAGTTCTCTATGGTTGTTTCATCTCCATTTAGTAGATCGTGAAAGGCTTGGAACCTGTTGCCAAGGGCTATCTTGGATTGGTTGAGTTTTTCAGTATCTTGAAGAAAGGCAGTATTGAACTTTCATGATGCTGTTCATGTTGTCCAGTGCTTCTCGAGTTTTAATTTCATCTTGACCACTAACAAGTGATATTCTGAAGCTGTCAGCCCCTCTCTTTGTTCTGACGTCCTACATGATCCTTTTGAACCCTTTGTTGATGCAGATGTGGTCGATGTGGTTCTGTGTTGTGTGATACGGTGAAATCCCTGTAGCTTTGTGTATTTATTTTTGTGAGAATATGGTGCAGCCTATGACCAGTTTGTTGAAGGCATATAGGTTTGCAAATCTCTCACCATTTTCGTTTCTTTCTCCCAGTCTATTTCTACTCATGATGCCTTCATATTCAGTGTTGTCTATTCCAACCTTGGTATTTAGGTCTCCCATCCGAAAGGTGAACGATTGATTACAGGCTCCCATAGAATTGATCTTTAACGTTCTCATTATTATTCGAATTACTCAGTTCAGTTGGTGGCATCTGTTGGTTTTGTCATTTAAGATTTCATTTGCAGTAAAAATCTCTAGTTTGTTAATTGTCGTAAAACAATTTGTTAATCAATGTTTACAACCTGTTATCTATTGTTATTACTACTACTACTACTTACTGACTACCAAGATGCAATTCAAATGGAGTAGTAGTAGTTCAGAGTTACTGTGAACAAGTGTTGTTATAGCTATTTATGAAATCAAACATTTGTCTTATTATGAAAATTATATGCATGTCATCTGAAATTTATCCAACAATAAAAGTCAAGATTGTCAATAACCGGATTTTATTCATCTATTATATGTAATTCCCTGAAATCCGGCACAATTGTATCGGCCACACATCATAGTACTTTTTCTGAAGTCTAGACTATTCATTATCCGTGTACCTAAATCTAAAGCCAACGATTTTTAATTGGGAGCATTTGTCCCTAGATGTTTAATCTAAACGGAATTCAAATAAAATCAGCTGACTCCGCTTTATAGTCGGTAGTGCCTAAAAAAATAGATTCATTCATCATTCGTTTCTCAAGATTTTGAAGCCTATATACACTATTGATTAGGATTTAGACTTTCCCAACCTGCTTAGATAGAGTCTCTGTATTGGTCAACTCGATTTAGTCTCCAAACATTCTCTTTTCATCCTCTTATACACATGATTAGAGCTTTTCTTTTAGTGGCTATAAACGTACGAGCAGATAAGATCATTTCAGGAGAAAGCAACTTCTCCCTATCCTTAACTGTATGAAAGCATTTGCTGACCGTACTTGTCAATATAAAGCGATAAGCAGTAGTATGTTAGTTTCGTAGCCAGTTTAAATTTCTGACAAAACTTTATTAATCATTTCATACATTGGAAGCATTCTGTGCATTACTTTGTTTTAATCATAACAAGCCATCACATCTAGCAAGTTGTGATTAAGGCAACTGATATTTGTCTACTGTTATGCATGAACAATCGTTGAAATTCCAATTAGTCTATTCTTATCACATTTATATCTTGTTTAAAAGATTCCCATTCTACTTTGTTCTTGATTTAGTATGAAATTGTTTTTTATTTGTGAAGTTTTGTGTAATTTTAGTTCTTGTCTATCATTTTACCAATGTAACAGATTTCTTGTTGGAATTGAAATATATACCCAATTTAGTTATAGAAAATTTATAACAATAATTCTAATTATTTTGAAAAACAGTGCTTTTTGTCTTTGACACTGATTCATTATAAAGAATAAATCGAACCTTAAATATTGGTTTCTTCAGCTAGAGAATAACGAGGATAGAACCGTAATTAATCCCATCTAACAGCGTATAATAGGTTAATTCTCAGTTGCTGCTGATAGCACATTGCGCAGTAACACCATTGTTTTAGACCGGTCACATAACTTTTGTGAGTAGTTCTTGATGGATTGACTTAATACATTTCAAACCTTAGCATTGGCTACTGCTGTCCATATAGTAAGGTGAGGTGTACTGTTCCCCCAAGGTTTAATCAGTACTTGACTCCATCCAAGATCTCCACAGATGGTGATTGAGCAAAACATCTTACTGTTGTCATAGTTCAGTAGAGTCAACAACGGGATTTCACTTTCGAACTATAAGTTTATGACATTTCACTCTCCAGTTGACCTGAAAAAGGTAATAGGACAAAAAAGCCATGTTTTAGTCAAAATACCTTAGTTAGATTATCACAGTTTGCAATCACGATCATTGCATTAAACTAACAGCTACAGTTGACCGATCGGTGCATAGTATTAAACCTTCCGAAACTTAGACAAAACAATTATCAAGTTTCTGTATAACTACCAAAAGTTTCACAACTGATAGCTATCTCATTGGAATAAATCTCCACCCGATGATGATTTATTTGTTTTTATTCGTAACTTATCATCTCATATCACGTTTTTTTTCTCTTTCTAGACTTTTTCACCAGATGCAAAGTCACGTACTATCAGTCCAAAGCCGCCTACTAGTGGTTGGCATCGATTTGCGAATGACAAACAAACACCTCTTCGTAAACAATCAAGTTCTCGTAATGTTTCATTCACAGAATGTGCTTCATCAGATGATGATTGTATCATAATGAATCACATTCCGGAAGCATGTAAATCATCTTCTGTAAATGAAATCCCGAATACAAATTCATTAGCTGATGTTTCAATAATTCACAACATTAATGATGTCAGCCGGGATTCTGTTCCCCATTCTCAAATGGTCACAAAAATTATTCAACGTCGAAGATCTCGTTCAGCTGATATCACCGAATCACGTAATTGTGACGAGTTTTCTATCGACATAAACAATAATCATACAAAAAATGTTGACAACATTCTTACTCCTATCCTTCCATTAGATTCCGATATGATTGAGTCTAGTTCAAATGTTAGACAGTTATCTCAAGTTCCCGATGCATTTGAATATGTGAAATCAACTGCTTGTTGGCCTGTTACTAATACGACTACTACTACTCTAAGGAGTGTTGATAATAAAAGTGAGTTATTTGTGATGATAATTGTTAGCTCGTTTTCTTGTGTTTCCTTTTACTTAACATCAAGCACAGGTTCGTGTACTCAAGACTTTTAACCATATTTCATGTATGGGAGTTAGTAAAACTAGCTGATTACTCGAATCGGAATAGCTGAAGCGGGATTCGAACTTTGAGCCTAATAGTTATTTTCCATTACTGATTACAATTTGAATTTTCAAAAACATTCGTCGTTAGTCAGTTAGTCGGTAACAACGTAGATCCTCGTACGTGAGTGTACATCAGTTCATGTTGTCATACCATATTAGCACAGAGACGCAATTGTCGATTCAAACCCCATAGTGGTTGAGGTAGTAGAAGTAATCGGAGAGATTAGGGTTCGAATATATTATTCAAGAAGTATAGTCCAATGAAGAAAAAGAGAGAAAGATCAATGTGATGAGGAATCTAGGAGATTAGGATTTGAGAGAACACAAAGATTGAATGCACCTGTGCCATCGCGGACGATTTTGAACCATCGATTGTTATCATCTCGCGGACCCCAACCACGCAGTATGCACTTACCAACATGATTCAGTCCACTTGTTAGTGACTTCATGGATTTGTACCATGTTTTGATTTGACTGCTCTTAGCTTTCTATCAGCCTACGCTTACACCACAAAACATAGCTGGTCGAGGCAGTCGGTGGTTGGGCATACGTAACACATGTCCCGATCACTTCAACTAGTAACGTTTCACTACTTCATGTATTGATTTCCTTTTTGCCACATAGTACTCGTTTCCTAACTATAGCATTGCTTACTCGGTTGTCGCAGAATACACGAGCAATGCTTCGAAGACCCCTATGATTGAAAACCAGTAACCTACGATTATCTTCTACTCTGTCTAGTCATGTTTCGCATTCATAAAGCAGAATGGAACGAACTACTATGCAGTAGACTCGTCCTCTGGCCTACGCCACAGATGACGCAAGTTGACAAAGGCCAATTGAGTCTTCTGTATCCATGAAATTTTATCCCACTATGTAGATTATATGCATTTTGCATATAATGTCTTCAGTAATATTTGTAAATATACTGTTGAATTACATATTTGGGTCAGTAATTTTTTTTCCAAGAAGACAAATAAAAGTAACCAGTCTCATAAAATTATGATATTGATGTCTTCCTTTTTTTCACATTTGTCATTTACAGTACAATTTTTTACTGTCATTCCTATCTTTCAGATTGTTTTATTTCGAAATCCGCGCCAAATAGTCCATGTCTACAGAAAAACGATTTTCCATTCGGTAGAATTTCGCTACGTCGTCGAGCTATTCCACGTACTCCAATATTGACATTGTCTAGAAGAAAAGCATTGGGAAAATCTAATTTGTTATCAACCCCCAGTAATAAACCGAATTCACCACAAGCTGGTGAAAATCTCTCCACATCTGTACCACAGTCCAGTTCCGATGATAATGCTGATACTAGTAATAATAATAGTAATAATAACAATACAATCACTGAAACTCATGCACAGCCATCATCATCCTCATGTTCATCATAATCGAGTGACATGCATATTCAGTCCTTTGTACATGAAATGTCATTTCGTTGGAATATCAGTCAATTTAACGGTGTAGTGTAGTGTAATGTAGTACAATGCAGTACTGTGCATTGTAGGTGTGTGTGTGTGGGTGTTTGTATTTGTACAAAGAATGTTAGAAATTTTTTTTTAGAAAATTTTTTAATTTTAATTTTTTTTTCTGATACTTTTCTCCTTCTGTCTTGTATTACAACGTGTGTTGTATTTTCTCTTATTGTGAATATTTTTTTTTACAAAAAAAACAAGAATGATTTTTATGATTAGCCATTATTATTGTTATTGTGTTCAAGCGCTCTCTTTATATACATTAAGACATTACTAATGGTTATGCAATCAATTCTTCATTGTTTCATTTATCTAACTAGTAATAATAATAATAGTAGTAGTATTTATTGTTTATCGCAAAAAGAAGAACTTGAAAGATCTAACTGACGCGTTTCATTCGCTTCAACTTGACTTGCTCGCTACATGTGTATTTCGGTTTCAGCAAATGGACACTATGTGTGTGTATAGTTTGTGTTAGCTCTGACTCTTTGTTATTTTAGTGTACGTGCAAATTCATACTATACATACCGTAATAATACCAGTAGTAATATGGAAATCAGTTGATTTATCCCTTCTCTTTTGGAAAGTTCTGTTCACTCTTTCTCTCTGTCTCCATACTTGAAATTGTGTGCGTGATTTCCGCCTTCCTTTTTTTCAATATCCCGCCATTCGTTTTTTTTTTAAATTATTCAATTAATTATATTACTCATTGTCTACTTGTACCGCATTTTATTTTTTACATAAAAACAATGAATGACTTTTGTAGTTCTCTTTGTGTGTGCGTGCGTGTGTACCTATGTACATGTATATATATTTATATATATAAACCAAAAACACAGTCATCCAGGAAAAACCACAACAACGTGGTGATTCGTAATAATAATAAAACAGAATTTATTTGGCTCTTTTTACAGTTTTGAAAGTTATCATTGATCTGTTTTTTTCCCCAGTGTTTCGCTGTTTGTATTTTTGCTTGAGCTCCGTTTTTCTGTGTCTGTGTGTGTGTGCGTGCATATTTACAGCTAGAGCTTTAGGTAAAAATGACATTTGTATTAGTGATTGAAAAACCAGCAAATAGTTGATTAGAACCTCTTAGATTCCATTTACTTAGGTGGTATAGGCCAACACAGGGTTGTGATGTTATTAATTTTAGACATAAAAGTAGTAGTCGTTTGATACACTGTCGATTAGCGCAAATCTCAACCACGTCGATATGTTGAATCCATTTTCTAACATTAGGATTAACAGGCGATCATAAAGTAGACAATCACTCAAAAATATCTTTCATTGATAATACAACGTGACATATAAGGAGGTTAGTGGTGATTGTTGAATATGATCGAGATGTAAAACCAAAATCGAAATTGAGCAGTGTTTAAAAACTAGGCGTCATTGAACATATGTTTCGTCCTAATGTACGTCTCCTCTCGATAGTATGCATCCACGACTCCATTTGGAGAGTTGGAACAATAACCGACAGGCAAATGTCTGATCTGTAGATCAGTGAGTTGGCATGTAATCATTTACCTGCCAAACATGAACCTTCACTCAATCTACATTATTTCATATCATGCTTTACTAATGATGATCAGTAGTCAACATGACTAACTTGTAGCTAAGAATGATGAAAGCTTACTAGTATGCCTTTCCAAGTAATTGATATTAAATCTCACTTACTTCTATTTCCATATAGAAAAGATTTTCTAAATTGACCGGTTAAACTTCCCCATTAGTAAATATTCATGATAAACTATGAGTATCAATCAACTGTTTAAACCAGCAAAACAAACATAATTGTTTCGAAACATACCTTGATGTTTACATTATCGTTTGTTGGTTTTGTGTTTTAACAAGCACAGTTGTATTGTTGTCTTTGAAAATTTAAAAATCAATATGGTGTACCTAAAAACTGCCAACTTTTACTTGCAATGCTGGTTGACGTTTGGGAGTGTTTTTCACCATAGGTTTCATCATAGATTGGCCTTTGTTAGACAATCATTAAAAGTTAGAGAGCGCTAGACTATTGTTTCATCGTAGTGTCAGACTCTTCAGTAGTGTATGCTAATAATTCCGTTGAGGTTCGAGCCCAGGACCTTCAATTTTCGTGGTGAGTACTTAAATGTTTAATCACGGGGCTGTTAACCAGTGGTCTGCATGTTTAACTTCAATCATATCGCGATGTTGTGCAATAATCTTCTGGTTTAATCTCCGATGGTGTCATGTCATGTCAGTCCTCGGATGAAGTATCTGTTTAGTGCATTCTGTTTATTTGACTAAGATCCATTCATGATTGAAATTGTGCAATTCAATAGTTTCTTTTATCCATCCTATAGTAATTATAGACACTTGCTCGCTAGTGGTAATTCTCATAGTTCCTGTTGAAAGTCCTGGTAATCGGAGCTCAGCTGTATAGAGAAAAAGATAGTTATCTATTAGTGATGACATTAGAAGATAATTCTGTGATACTACGAATTAATTGAAGCTGGGAATGCAAACTAGTGGATCCCGACTCTGATTCTTCCTAGTTTATTAAATCTTGCAAGTTTATTCTGCTTATAAATACAATGGGTAGTACGTCTGAACTCAATATATTTTCTATAATTTATATTTCCCTAATTAAACATCAGTTCTTATGAGCATAGATGTATACTGGCTAGTAGCGGAATCCAAGACGCACGTTCGTTTCTATTTGAGATCCATCTCTAACTGAGTTCAGATCGATAATCGCTTGTGTAATTGAGTTGAATATTAATTCATTATGCATAAGCGAGTATCTATTTAGATTCCGTAGCTAAGTGGATAACACGCTGGTGTTTGCAGCAAATAGTACTGTGTTCGACTTCCGGAGCGAACACCAACCTTGAGATGCAGGTACATCCAGTTAGAGACGAGTTTCAAATAGGACTAGACTCGAGTCTTCGATTCCATCTCTAGCCAATATACACCTTTGTTAGTGATACTTGTAACCTCAAGGTAATATCCAGGCAACCCGTACAAGATGCACAAACGCCAAATAACGACTGATCCATCAATGGGAAAGATTAAAACAACCAATACAAGTAATGAACTAGGTTCTTATCGTTACTGAAAATCTTATTACTACGAGTTTTCTTTTTCAAATCTTTTTTTTAGATCATCTTTCTGTACATTTTGCCACATGGATTCTTCAAACGTCAGTAATCAACAAATTTGGCCATTACCAGATGTTGATTCAGATGAAGAAGCATTTTGGGACGATAAAGATTTGATTGCTGAATATGAAAGACTTGAATCTCTTGTCAAGGTGTAAACTAATTGTCTAAATTGTATATTGATGATAAGTTGTTTTTTTTTCATAGAGAGAGTTACTTTGAAATCAGGAGTCGATATCAATGTTAGACTATTACGATTAGAAATCTGGAAGCACTGGATGACTATTTCGTCCTAGTCTGGGACTCATCTGTAGCACTATGCATTCACGACTCCCGTTACTGCTAGCGAGAAGCGAACCCAGGGGCTTTGGTCTTGTACGCAACACTAAACAACTGTCCAATGCTTCCAAGTTTCTAATGGTAGTAGTCTAACATTGATCGATTCATGATTTCATAACTAAATTTAATGTTTTAAATCTAGTTCTTTATTCAGTCGTTATTGTAATTTGAAAGAAACATATCAAACACCATTATAAATAAAATAAACTACTTTCTAAGTTGTTTTTACTTTAAAAATTTGTTTTGATTATTGATGGAATTTTTATTCACCAAGTACATGGTTGTATATCTTATTTGTCTAAATTAATGTCAGTTGAGTAGAGTGGAACTCGAACCAACGACTTCAAGGTTGATAGGTTAACTCATCAATCTAATCATTTGTTTTAATAAAAGACATGTTTTAAAGTATATATATATATTCTTTTAAAATTTAAGTTAAACGTTTCGTGTGTATTGATCACTGTAGTCTTTTACGAAAACCACTCAATAGTGATAGGGAGTGAAGTAGTCGAGCGTGTAGACCGCTCCACTTATCTGGGGAGTCTCATGAGTGCTGATGACCTGGCGACTGACGAAATCCCAGCCTGGATACAGAAGGCTCGATTAGCTTTCGCCAACCTGCGTCACTTATGCCGTAGGCGAGATATCCGTTTGCTGACTAAAGGACGAGTGTATTGTGCAGTAGTTCGCTCCGTCTTACTTTATGGCTGTGAAACATGGCCAGTGAGAGTAGAAGATATTCGTAGGTTACTGGTTTTCGATCATAGGTGTCTTCGAAGTATTGCTCGTATATCGTAGGACACCCGAGTGAGCAACGCTGTTATTAGGAATCGGGTGCTAGGTAAGAATGGCAGATCAATAGATGAAGTGGTGAAACTTCATCAGTTGAGGTGGTTGGGACATATGTTGTGTATGCCCAACCACCGACTGTCTGATGTAGTAGTGGAGTGAAACAAAGCTAGGGACGGCAAACCAAAACATGGCAGAAATCCATGAAGTCATTGACGAGTGGACTTAGCCATGTCGGTAATTGTCGACTACCTGGTTGGGGTCCGCGAGATGATAATAATCGATGGTTAGAGACCCTGAATGACATGGCTCACAACCGTTTGCAATGGCGCCGGTGCATTTATTCTTTGTGTTCTCTCAAATCCTAATCTTCTGGATTCTTCAACCCCTCTAGTTTTGACTTTCTAAACTTATCTCTCTGAATTATACTTCTTGAATAATACCTTCTAATCCTAATCTCTCCGATTACTTCTAATACCTTTACTACCTCTACTACTATTGGATTTGAATTGACAATTTCATCTCTGTGCTAATGTGGTATGGCAATGTGAACTGATGTACTTACGTACGAAGTTCTACGCTGCATCTGACTGACTGAAAATATGCATGCTGAAAAGTCATAATGTCTTACTTTAGTTTGAATAAACATGTATCATTGAAAAATTTTCTTGTCAGTCATTCAGCTATAATGTAGAACTTGATACGTACGTACATCAGTTCAAGTCACTATACCACATCCGCACACGGATCGAATTGTCAATTCAAATCCCATAGTAGTAGAGCTGGTTGTAGAAGTATTAAGAGTAATCGGAGAGATTAATGATCGAAGTTATTATTCGAGAAGTATATCTCAGAGGAAACTATTTTAAAAAGAGGGAGGTAAAAATGGTCATGAGAAATTCAAAAGACTAGAATTTTAGAGAAGATAAAGAATGGATGCCCATGCGCTGTTACAAACTTTATTCTCAGAGTTTATTATTATCGCTACTGCATTTTCTGTACTGTAGATTTTTGTTGTTGTGCAAATTTAATATGAAAACTTAAGCTGACATATACAACATCTGTACTAAGTTTAAGCTCTCTAGTTGATTATTTCTTTAACAAAATATCAACTCATCCTTTCCCGACCGTAGCTGCTACCTTAACGCAGTGGTCGGGCTTGCCTATCGTGATGACACAACCGAACCATAATGGCCAGAACATATGTTCCTATAGGTCCTACCATGTCAGGCAGGTCGACTGGAGGACGGTAAGACCTAAAACAGCAACTTAAGTTCTGGGGGTGACGTCGTTCTGCTGACTGTAGAGGAGTGTAACAGCAGTAAGGTGTCTCCTTCGGACAACCAGCATCTGCAGCGATACTGCCTTCTTACAACAGAAGGAAGAGGTTAGAAAAGGTCGACTTTAAAAATGTCACACCTGACCTTACTGTACGGATTTTCATCTCCAGCGGTCAGGCCTTTTGAAGAGCGGGGAGTTAGAGAGTTCTCATAAAAAGGCCGTGCGCGACCGGCCTAAAACAGTTTTCCCTTGGGCTCTGCGGTCATGCTCCCAGGTCTCTAAGACCAACACTAATCTATCTTCCTTTTCAGGTTCCTCAAGAAACACCCACGGTATGCGCATCCGCGAAGTGAGATCCTCCCTCATTTCCGTAACAATCTGACTGAACTCATCCTTTAATTGTTTTGACACTTTTCCTGTTTATTCTAATGTTTAGGATAAATTAACAGGAGAACTTAGTCAAAACGCGAAATCGAAATCCTCTGGAATCAATGGCAAATTCCATCCGAAATTAAAACAAGCTTCATCTAGCACGTGTAATTACTCGAAGGTACGTTAAGTTCCATTGAATAATATTCTACCAGATTAATTATATATATACATATATATATATAAGTGAGCAGACATTTTTCGGTTCAGTCCGGCCAATAAAACTTGCTTGCTGCTCTCGGTTTTACCACTGTGGTGGCCAATCGGGTTTGTATATAGAATTCTTGTGTATCACTTTCAGAATCGAATGTAGCACAACAGTTTTCAGTAAGTGTCAATCTATTCCTTCGAAATCTAAGTCAAACATTCAATCGATGACGTGTCTCGTCCCTTGAAAAATAAATTAGTCGCTTATATAAATTTTGATAAAAGAGTCAGAAGACGCAATCGATCTTAAATGTATGATGTATTTGCGCTATACATTTCGAACAGTTTGGTCACACGTTCACTTGTCGAGGCATTTTCTATGAAGATTAATAAAAGGTCAATGAAATGAGAGTTCAAATTGACATGAGATGATAATTGTAAATGAAGGAGAGAGAAAATCAACATAATATAACAAAGGGTAGGATATTGTCACATTACCCTAGGCCATACAATGGCACAAAGATTACCAGAGTAAATTCAAGGTTATAACAAATCGTTTCTGTACACCTAAGGGGGGTTTTAATTTATGAATAGCCAAGGTTTCCATGAACCTCAGAATTCGTTCTTCAACGTTTCTCGATGTCATTCTTATTCCCTGTCTCAATTATGTGTTTTGCAATCGAGGCATTTTACCAAGCCCCCTTTGTTTTGGACAAAACTGCTGAATTTCATCCTTATTGATAACGTTCATTTTGAGTAGCTTCATTGGATTGGCGCTAACTCTCTATTCTAATTTTGTAATCTGATTATTAGATGAAACATTAGTCAAAAATTTCCTTTTATCATTAAGGATGGATAACAGTTTCTTTTTATAGCCACATTTATTCATTGCAACTACACCAGTACCTTTGTCAGTTATAAGAATCATAATATCATCTCTCTCTCGCTCGCTCGCTGTCTCGTGAAGGAAAATAGGTCCGGATTCTTTGGTTGATATGTAGGAGTTGACCTGGAGGCATATGGGAGATTATTGCTGTTTTATTTTTTTCCCATTCAGGTACACCACCATACCGAAACTATTCAAAAGGAGAATGATGATGATGATAGTTCAGTGAATCGTCAATCATTTCATGATAATAACAACCCAATTTGTGATTTACAATGGATTCCTCCGTGTTTAAATCCTCCATCTCAACTATTCTCTCGAATGGCTTCATCAAGGTAGGTGTAGATAGGTAGTTTGTGTAAATCAAAATTTTGTTCTGTTGAATTAGTTTTAGTGTATTTTGTATACGCAATAGCTTTTCCAAATCTTAAAAATGATTGTTCAAAGAACATTCAAATGAGATTTATCCTGTTTCATTAGTGTAAATTATGACCATATTCTGAGGATTAATTTGTATATCTTCATCATAATAATTGAATGTTGTACACATGATTTCATCTTTGAGAATCTCCACATTTCTAACATGTGACCATGAATCGATGGTGTGAGTATGCGGGTGGTATTGTCTTACTGTGCGATGATAACTATTCCGTACAGTTCGCATATAATTATTCGGCAATCAGTATCAGACTGGACAGACAGATACAACGCAGAACTTCGTACGTAAGTACATCAGTTCAGGTTGCCATGCCCCATAAGCACAGAGACGCAACTGTCAGTTCAAATCCAAGATTGAGAGCAATAATAGAAGTATTGTAGTGAAGGAGAACACAGGCGAGGGCAACCGAATGGAACTTAACGAAAATTACAGAGTTAATTGGTAAAATAGGAAAACCATATCGTAACCGTTAATTTGCAAATCTTCAATCCATTGTCTGACATTTCACTATTCATGCGTTTCATACAAATTCCATTGTGTTCCCACTCTTCCTTTCTTGATCTTCCCCCATCTTCTGCTGCCAGACATTAAGTTGACACTCACGTCATATACTACTTATAAGTAGCGCGCACCACAGTATTAGCAGTAATGGAGAAGATTAGGGAGCGAAGATATGATTCGAGAAGTCTAATTCAGTAAGATAAATTTAGAAGGAGAAAGGTAGAGATTATGAGGAATGCTGAAGCTTAGAATTTCATTGAACACAAAGAGTGGATGCACTTGCGCCATCGCAAACGATTCTGAGCCATGTCATTCTAAGTCTCTAACCATCGGTGACTATCGTCTCGCGGACCCCAACCAGGTAGTCTACATCTACCAACACGATTCAGTCCAATTGTCAGTGACTTCATGGATTTTTGTCATGATTTGGTTTGGTCGCCCCTAACTTTTTTCCAACTTACACATACACCACAAAATATAGCTCGTCGAGATAGTCGTTGGTTGGGCATTCGTAACACATGTCCCAACCACCTAAACTGATAAAGTTTCAATGCTTCATCTACTGATATGCCGTCCATACCTAGCACCCGTCTCCTAACAACAGCATTGCTTACTCGGTTGCCCCACGATACTCGAGCAATGCTTCGGAGACATCGATGATCGAAGACTAGTAACCTACGAAAGTCCTCTACTCTTAACGGCCAAGTCTCGCATCCGTATAGTAGGACGGAGCGAACTACTGCACAGTACACTCGTCCTTTAGTCAGCAAACGGATATCTCGCCTGCACGGCAATCAGTGTCCGTAGGTATGGCATGTACATTGTACCTTCAAAGTACAAAGTAATTTTAGAAGACTAGTGGGACCTTGGGTCTGCATTCATTTTTGGTGGTAAACAAGTAAAAGTAGTCGAAAAGTTCATGTGTTCGGGTAGTTGTTTGTGTGCTGGTGATGGTGTGAGAGATGAGATCAATTCACGTATGATGAAGGCCATGGTGCCTTGTGCCAATCTGGATCATCTTTGCCGACGTTGTGAAGTTAATCTACGATTGTTGATATTCAGAAGCAGCACTATATTACTAATGCAGAGGTTTGGCAACTTTTTCTTGGACACAGCGATTATCATTCAATCTATGTCGCCATCTTGAAACATCGACTTCGGTGACTTGGATATGTTCTACGAATGTCGTCCAAGAGAACTCCACGTAATGTATAATTTATTGAGGCGGGGACTGGATTGAAAATGCGAAGAGGTAGTCAGCGGTGTCACGGTATGAAAGAAGGTTGCACAGAACTGACATCTGCTGGACCTTCACAACTCTGTGGTTGGGATCCTTGAAATGGTGCAATTCATTGGCTTCAAATGGTAATAGGTGTGGCTCAGAATAGAAGGTGATAGCGGTGTTAGGTGAACTTGTGACATTTTTGGGGTTGGCCTCTTCTAACTCCTCGTTCCTTGTGAGAAGGCAGCATCGCTGCGGATTCTCGTTGTCTGAGGGAAACACCTTACTGCTGTTACACCCGTCTACAATCAGCAGTGCGACTTCACCCTCAGACTTTGAGTTTCTGATTTTAGTCTCATCGTTCTCCAATTTACCTGCATGATATGGTAGAAACTAAAGTAAGATATGCTTTAGCCAATATAGTTCGGTTAGGACATCGAGACAGGCATGCCCGACCACCATGTCAAGGTAGCAGCTACGTTGATTCTACTCGCATCCTGTATGCTCGCTTCGAAGATGTAGCATTCATCAATAGCACGAGATCCTGAAGTCGTAACTAAGGAAGTCAGTTGTCCTACTTCGTATAAGGCTCGAACATTAAAAGCTCCAACATTTCGTTTAGAACGGGGATTCAGGAAACCAGGAATAACGATTCGCGTACTTGAATCGTTTACATTAGCGGCGCGAGGTGATAAAGGAACGTGAGATTGTTTTGTCATGGAGGTAAGAGGGTTATTAAAGAGTATGTGGGGAATTTGATTCTGAATAGTATGAGGGCGGATGTCACCTTCCGTCTGCCCACACCGCGAGATGATAGTAACTGATCGTTATAGACCTTGAATAACATGACTCGAAATCGTTCGCAACGGCGCTAGTGCATCTATTCTTTATGTTCTGCCGTATTCTAATCGGAACTCCTCATGACTATCTTTCTCGTCTCAAATCTATTTCACTGGATTATACTTTTCGAATAATATCTTCGGACTGTGATCTTTCCAATTACTTCTCATACTTCTAATACCTCTACCACTATATATATATATATATATATATATATATATATATATATATATATCACTATCTTTTAAATTACATCATATGCATGCAAGTTTCTAAAGTCTCTATTTTTATTCATTCATTATAGGGATAGTCATAGTTTTAGTAAAGATCAACCTTGTATTACCCCTAAACCAACAATCTTTACAAACAACCTATCAACTCTTGAACCTATTCTACATACTTGGTATGAAGCAGGCTACCGACTTGGTCGTGCACATGCTATGAAGTTAAAATCCAAGTCATCTGTATCGTCGACTTCATGTAAATAAGAAAATTTATTTTCACAGAGACGGTTTATCGCTGCTCATTTTTTTTTTGTATCATACTTCTGGTTTTATCAATAAAATTGTTATTTTTACTTTGTTGAACTTTAAGTGATATTTGTTTGTTGAAGTTAAATGATGCCATACTCAGCGAAGGAGTATCACAGTCATAAAACCACTGATATCTATTTATTTGGTTTAAAATGAGGAGTGATCAAAATTGACTTTCTTCAGTTGATGATAGGTTACTTCGAGATGGTGCAGAAAATATGTAGCTCAGGTGAAATGATTGTAGTGGAGTTTCGTTCTCTAAGCTGAATGTTTCGGTTGTGAGGGTACAAACTTCGATCTGAAGTTTCTGTAGCTGCTGATGATGTTGTTCCGAAGTACAATCAAAGCTTCACAACCGAAACATACAGCTTAGAGAACGAAACTCCACCGCAATAGGTTATTTCATTGATCTGTTTGCTCAACATTTCTTCGTTCGGCGCTGTAGGTACTGAATTAAAGTTATGGTTCTTATTTTTCATTATCATACTCGTCTGTGACGCCACAATAACACTGGCTGAAAAGATATATATATATATATATATATATATATATATATATAGTAAAATATATAACTGTCCAGTCCCTACTTTTTCTTTAAATGACATAAAAACTGAGTTGCTGTAATATTCGCTTAATCGATTTATCATGGAACTGTAAAGTCTCATACATTCATCACTGCATTGTATCGTTAAATATTAACAGGTTCTTTGTCGTAGCCCAGTTGGCGCTTCGTGGGTTGCCTTGCTAAATCTGCTGACAAGAAAAGTTTTCTTTGGTGTGTGCTGTTACTCATAAGTCGATACTGATGTTTATGTTGACGAATCTCTAGCAAATATCTGTCATTTTAACAATACAACGTAGCTGTTTGTTCGTATGACTCTCCGCACTGACTATATTAGTAATAATAATAATAATAATAATAACAATAATAATAATGAAATATAGTACCTCATTCACTTCGCAAATGTTTTGCCGACTATGTTCGTTAGCATCACCAGTAAACGAAATGTCCAGTACTAGAATATTTTGGAGCCGTATATTTCATTCACGGATGGATGTAAAGTGTCAAAATCACTGATTATGAATACAATGATCAACATTTTTACCCAAAATCAGTGAGTGTATGAGTCAATCATGATAAGATTCAAACAGTAGGCTAATTTTAGATATTCACTATAAGTTTAAATAATATGTATGCTTGAAAACGCACATGAATGAAATTATCATGGTCGCGAATAACATAAATATATATACTGAAGTCGTAGACTGTATAAATGATGTGAAAAATCAATATAGTGAAAGTGTGACAACTACCACCGGTAACATATACTTGCAGCATTTAATATGGTCGTCGATCTATTCTCTCCTTTGCTGCTTGTCTACATTTAGTGTTCTACTCATCGTTTTGTCTGGTATGTCCTATTACCCTAAATATACTTGATCAGTTAAATAACCTTGCAGACAAAATAATGTTCTTCAAGAGTAGCAAGTGGTTGTTTTTGATTACGAGGTTCCCTCATTTCTGAGGCTTTGTGATATGCTGAATGTTCTGTTTCATGTCTGTGAAGTTTTACTGATTTGCAAAACCATGAATTACATTCCGAGTTAGTGTCTCATGATTATCACTGCTCTTTATGGAATCATGAAGGTGATTGTTCCAGGCTAAGATCTACTCCTTGTGATGTATGTGGTCAAGATTTAACGGCGTGTGATACACTCATAAAAATATGAAAATACTTCAATCCAGCCAATACTATTAAAGCATATAAAAAGAATAACGTAGTTGGCGCTATGTATATATATGATTCACCTATCTTCAAAAAGGTTTATATGCATCGATCCATATGCAAATAATAAGAGGCAAACGCAAAGATAATAAAGATGTTGGATTTTTATTGTGGCTGAATAAAATTTCAATACTTACTTAGTTATTGCAAAAAATGTACGGACAACAATTCATATAAAAACATAAATACTTATAGTGTCAGTTGGAGAGGTATTCCATCTTTTGATTCGTAATCAATAATTACAAACACGGCATAGATGATCCAATGTAATGTTGATCAGGAATAATCGATTAGTGGAAATACGATTTTGACATTTCACCGTATATGGCGATTATGTCATGGATCTGTTAACATGGCAGTTGATTAAGTGAGAATAATGATGAATGTAGGCAGTAGTAGTAGTAGTAGTCAGAAGTTTAACAGTAGTCAATAGCAGAGATTCGATAAATGTGAAGTGAAATTATGAGAAACGAAAAATGCAAATAATGACAGAAGTTATTCAAGAAATCAATTTTATTGAATCGCCACTACAATTTCTGCAATTATGATGCTGTAGAAGAGAGAATTTAGAGAAATCCCAGACACCAATCTATAGTTTGCATTACGGGGTTGTGAAGATTGTTAAGTTACACATTTTTGAAACCATGAACCGATCAATGTTAGACCACCATTAGAAACCTGGAAGCACTGGACGTCCTGGGTTCGAATCCTGCGGGGTGCAGGAGTCGTGGATGCGCACTGCTGAGGAGTCCCATACCAGGACGAAACGGCCGTCCAGTGCTTCCAGGTTTCTAATGGTGGTCTAACATTGATCGGTTCATGGTTTCAAAAATCTATAGTTTGTCAGACAGTGAGTGTGCTATATATATAAATGCATCAAGATTTTACAGTACACAATTGGTAAGCAGCATTCAGTAAAATCATAACCAGGTGCAGAAACAATTTTGAAGGCCTTGTTTTTCGGGAAATCCCTCCATCTATATATATTTGTGTTATGATATGATTGACTCTTTTGTTCGATATGTTGGTACTTTATTTGATCCCATTTTGGGATTTTATCATTTGTATCTTGTTATCATTTCTATATCTTGTACTTACATTGGAGTTCCTATGTTTCCTTCTGAACTATATATGTGTTGTTTAAAATTGATACTTAATATGGCTACAACCATTTTTGGATTTGATACTCTAGTAGCGGCTCGTTGCAATTAACTGGAAGCACTTATTCTTCCAGTATCGGAACTTATTGTTGTGATTAGAAACTCGAAGGTGTAATATTGTTTTGGTAATTGTCTGTATTTCCCTTTTTGATTAAAAATAGAACCGTTCTTTCCCAGAATTATCATTTTTGGACTTGGACTGAGTGAGACGCGTGTGAACCTATACCTATTTGGATTCAGATCTCACTGCGAGAGTAATAAATATTTCTAAACCAGTTGCAATTGTTTACATGTGTATTTAGTGAATAGTAATTTTAGTTCAATAAGCAGTGAATGATTTACCAGTAAAATCGAAGGTCAACTGACATAAAATTTGTAGGTGCTTTGTATTTTAATTGGAGGCTCATCAATTTTTAGTGGCTCGTGTTATGATTCTATATTTAAGAACAGTCGAATATGCTATAAAATAAATCCTCTCGCTCAATCTCCGTGTATCATACTTAGGCGAACACTGTGCGGCGGCGCTTATTAGAATCTAAACACAAATTCAGTTGGATGAGTTTATTTAGAGCAATCGTTCATATATTCATTTTCGTTGATAGACTGAGAATGAAAAGCAAAGCGGAGGAGGCCGGGCAGCCAACTCCATGTAATCAGGCATGACTAAGCACTTGAAGTGAAACAAGAGTGAGTAATAAACGAAGTAAGCCGTACACCTATAAACTCGGATGAAAACAACCAAAGTATATGAGCAAATGATAGACAAGGTCAAAAAGTATGTAAATAATTAGTTTGTCCGAAAGCTAGGACAAGCCCTACAGGCTCAGCATGAAAGTAAACAAATAGAAAAATTATTTGACTATTCATTATTACTTGTACACATTGAATGGAATCATGAGAAACTATCACAACTGTTGGAAAAAAGTCATTAACAATTAAAATTTATTTTCACTATCTACATATGCTTCTCTTATCTTTCCCATATAACCTTTTGACTACATATTGTGGTGGCCAATTTCCCAAGTGTTCTTAGGCTTCGTAATAGGCTCGTTCAGACAATCGTTACTAAATAGCGTCCGACGGTTTGTAAATCAGAAGGTAAACTCGAAGTGTTGAATACGTTTCTTTTGGCACACCACAAATAGGGATAGAAGACCGGACAGGCACACCAGCGAGCGAATGTGCGAGTGAGTTAATACGATTAAAATGTCTGAGTCATCGTGATATTTAAGAGCGAATAGGATGCATATGCGCGTAGGCGGTAAGCAATGCTCAGTCATACCAACCCATACAAACCACACAATAACAGAAGCTAATGATACATATAAGTTATTGTTATACAAATGGCTTGGTTAAATAAAAAATAATCGAAAGGTTTGACCAAATTAAATGTAAGCGAATTCAGATATATGTGGAGGCACTACACATATCTCTTTAATATTCCTACGTTTTTAATGGCATCAAAAAGATATGTTTTTAACAGTCTTTTTAGGAACATTTCTTATTCTTTTAAATAAAGAGACTAGGTGGTATTCAGTTCTATGATTACAAGTACGCGTTCAAATTCTAGTTACATTTAAAGAACAGTACTTTTTTTTAATATTTTCTTGTCTGATTCATTAAGGAACATCACTTTTCACACTTAATTATAAGGTGTAGTAGAAGACTACTTCTACGAAGAAAACTCAATTGGTGAAAAGGAAACATTTATTATTGTACATAACTATAACAATAGTTGTTTTATTGTACTCCATTTGTTTAACTGTACTAAATCCGTTATTCGACCTCTCGATCTGCTAATAACCCTAGTCAGTGACCGTGGTGGATTTATCTCCTTTCCAACTACTTGTCTTGATATTTTTTGATATCACGAGACCAGCAATCAATACACCTCATTCTCCATTTTGATATTTGGCCTTAAGTGGATTTAACTTGATTATCTCGCGATCAGTGGTCTCAATTCGCTGCAAAGGACGTTAGGCAGGCTGAATATACGTACAGTAAGACCTAAAGTAGTTAAATATTTCCCGTTTTGTGAATATACTATAATAGTCTTGATCTATCCTTCTTAAGTATCCTTGATGTCTTCCTGAATTA